TAGAAAACGTCTCGCGCCTCCGTTGGGCGACCAAGCGCCGTTGTTCGTCGGTGAGCTTTTCTGTATGCCTAAGGGCATTACACGCACTACTGCCGACGGGCAATTAGCCCGAAAATGAGATTTGTAAGATCTGTCAGGCACCGTAGGGGGTCTCTTTACATAGCGGTCGAGACGAAACTTTGAACTCGAGAAGATGCCCCGGCGATGCGACGCCTAGCGGCGTCGACGCGAACTGCCGGTAATGCAGATATCGCGCGGGCGTGTACTATTGGTGGCGCGTACCGCCACAGAGTTCAACACGGACACTTTTCAATCCCTATCCTGGCATTCAATGGTATTCATTTTATTGTCAGAATAGACGGAATTCAATGGAATTCAATACGGAAATTTTTAATTCCTAGTTTGGCATTCAATGGTATTCATTTTGTTAATGGAATCAATGGTATTCAATGGAATTCATCACGAAACTTTCCAATCCCTAACCTGGCATTCAGTGGTATAATATTTTTGTGTCGGAATTGGATGGGATTCAAAAAAGACAAATTCTTTCCAAAATAAGGAATTCCATGATATTGAAACTATTTCAATCCCTTTTTTGGACAGAATGGAATTCGGAAAGTCCTTAATAGAATTTCTGGCAATCCCGTTTTAATTCTTTTCAATCTTTTTTCGTTTGCTTTGCTAATTGTTAATTTTACTCTTTAACTACTACTAATAGAGAGGTTTTTATAGCTTTTGACATATGACTTTTTCGGTCAAAATCTTCGTATTTCTGAGATGTTCACGCGAGAGCTATGGTTTCATGCCAGTTTATAGGTAGGACATTTAATTGTTTCCGTTATATTTTTGTTAGAATTCTAACTAATTCCGGCGTTACCGAATTTTTTGTTATAAGACACTTGAGAAGGACCCAAAACCCCCGTGTCGAAACGTCGTGATTAAGCGTTATTGTTACTCGCCAATTGCGTCGATTGAATAAAGATTCCTGGTTTTTATATATTTTTTGTAAACTGTTTTATTGTTATTAAAATAATTTTTTGTAAAGAACAACTTTTCTATGACACCTGACATTGATTCCTTAATATTGTATATAATTTAATACTAGGTACAATAATATTAAATATTATACTATACTGTATATATTATATATAACATATGTTTTTAATGAGGTATAGATATCCGATACATATCCAGATTCAGATATCATATCTGAAGATGAAATTATCATGGCTTTTCGCGATCTTGGAGATGTCTTTGAGATATTTCTTATGATATCTTGCACAATCAGATATTCCGTTATTCAGATATCTTCTAGATATCTTGGAGATATATTTTGCTGTGCATATATATTTATATATAATTATATATAATCTTTTTTCCCGGGTATTTTCCATTTCTTATATGATCATATATAATCATATATCTACTAATATAAACTAATACGAACTAATATAAACAAATAAGAGGTTTTTTCCCGGGATTATATATATTTAAATATATTTTAAATTTTTATTATGTGGAATAATATGAAAGGAATCGATTGTTGTAAAAAATGAAACAGAAAACATTATTGTAAAAAATTTGATTGCATTTTACAGATCCATTTAATTTTGCAAAATTGCAAATGCAAAAATTATTATTATTATTCGCTTCCTTTCATTATTCTACGTATAAAAGTATGAAGGTAAAATTATAGAAAAGTGAATTATACTTCACGAGATATTTCCTATTTATATTAAAAATATTGTAACAAAATTTTAAATATCAGGAAATTCTTAATAGAAAAGGGCTGTATTATAGTGTTTTAAAAACGATAAGATCTATACTTTTATCTAAAAAAAATCAAGTTTTATTTAAGAAATTAGGCCGGTATTCATAGTCTGTTCTTATATTTAAGACCATCTTAAGTACAATCTTAAGATGTTATTAACCAATCACAGAGCCGTATTAGCATCTTAAGATATTACTTAAGACGGTCTTGAAATAAGATCTGATTATGAATACCGACCTTAGTCTCCTTTAAAATTTCTTGAAAATGACGACATGTGTTATGGCACGACTCACATTGGAATCATATGTCCCCCTTTAAACCAAACAACTTTTGTCTGAAGCATTTCTTTCTAGAATCACAAATAAAAAAGTTTTTGGGGGTAATCGATTAAAATGGGACACCCTGTATATAATCTTTTTTTTTCTCGGGAGTCTGTATTCTTGTACTGGTGAAATTTTGTACTATCCTCGCTGGTTCTCGTGCAGCCCCATCCAAGTCCAGTGCAGTTACAAAGAACAAACCTCTCACTAGTTCTAGTGCAGCCACATCTAGTTCCAGGTTCCAGTGCAGTTGCAAGGAACAAACCTCAGGTTAATTGCATCGCTTGCACTTTTCCATAACCTCTTTTCGCGGGCTGGAGTATATACGTAAGAAGCACATATGCATTTTATTATATACGAATGGGGGAACGCGGATAAAAGTCATAAAATGAATTATACGGTAAGAGACGCATGAAGTAACTATCAAATATTGAATATTCTGTCAGAGCTCCAAGCATACGGATTTTTATTATGGCAACTTGTCGATCGTGCTGGCGTCAGATCAATGTAACAAAACTATTTTAACTGCGAATTTTGGACCTGAACCTGATACACGTTATCGGTTATTTGCGTCGCATTACGATCTCACGCTGTTATTTCTGCCCTGAATTCCTGCCGAGAGTTTTGATGTAGATCGCAGTAATTGATCACAAAGGTAAGAAACTTTATCTGGATAGAGTCAAATTCGTCAGAACAGATTTTGAAAGTATTTGTTAAAAATTTTGTCAATAGATGCAAGCAAAAATATAACAGAACATAATGGTAGATTGACTGCAGAAATTGAGCAAAACATGTCGTTTCATAACCTTTTAAATAGGCATTCCATGAAATAACGAATTCTGTTCGATTTCTTCCAATAATCTACTGTTGAATTATGTTGACAGACTCTGTCGGCAAAACACGAGTTCAATGCATAGATGAAACTGAATCGGTTGCGATATGTGAGCAAATCTACTAGTAATCTGTATCATACTGTGGGCAGTTTGCTTACTGATTATATCTCAATGTGTTCACTGATTGTATAATAAAGCGAAACTCGCTTCTATCATGCTTTATTAACCATAAACAAATATAACATGGAAATTTCTGAATAAGCAATCAAAATGCATTTATATGTATCAGTAAAATCAATATAAAGTAAAAATGTGAAGTCAATAATTTTGTGTACATTTACTAATATAAGTTTATACATATATTAACTTTATCAGTAAAAAATTTAAAAGACACGAAAATGAGATTCTGCCATTATGTTCTGTTAGCAGATTTTGTTATATTTTTGTTGATACTCTATCGAGACAAAATTTGTAGCAGACATTTTTAAAATCTACTCTCAACAGATTTGACTATATAGGTTATTTCTTATATATTATGATTACACATATTAAATTTGCAGACATGTAGAAGTTGCAGATATAACAATGCATTATAAATGTAAATATACCTACGTAGTTGATTATCTTACCCAGTACACATTATCTTATAATATTTTAATATTATCAATAATATAATTGTAATTTAGAAAATAAATATTTGTTATATCTCTATGTATAGAAACTATTATATGTTGTATATTATGTTTGTATATTATAGGCTTACGACAAAATTTAGCAATAACATCTTAGATTTTGGGTATTTGCTTCTGTTTTTATTTTATACATCTTGGAATAACACTTTATTGTATCAAAATTATAAAAATTAATTTCCTTTTTTTATAGATGGGCGACATTAAATATTATGGAAAAAGGAGAAGTATTGTAAGGAGGATTGGATCTTTTTTACCATTAAAGCCTCCACCAAAAATATATGTCAGTGTGACACCGTTACATTTGATGACAAATTCAATGATTAACGAGGAAACTAGTAGCAATTATGTTGATACGAATGGATATCCAATGAGGTCAGCACCTTATTCTGTCAAGTTACAATTAGACATATACATATTTATTCTGCAATATTGTTTTGAAAAATTGAGTTTGATGACAGCTTTTCTGGCAGCAGGCCAGATCTGTTGGAGCCAATTAGTTTTGGATCTGAAGTACGATTGCTCGCATTAGAGCAAGAATTACAAGAGCTTAGGGAACAAATTTCGACAATTGTAAAAAGTAATAAACTGTCTAAATGTATGTAAAACATATATTTCGTTATGCTCAAAGATATCCGAGAAGACTTAAAGATTTATGTTTGTTTTGTAGATGCGTCTGTCGCGTCTCTGCCCAATGGAGCAGATGATATGAAGTCTGTGCCATCTCCACCTCCACCGCCACCGCCATTTCCGCTTCCACTTCCACTTCTGCCACCCACAACACCGCATATCGCGAGAAGGGCTAGTTTGCAAGATCACAAAATTGAAGATCGGAAGAAGATTCCATCGAGTGTACAGAAATTTACGGGTGATATGCTGAAGGATATCGATAGTGTAAAATTGAGACCAGTTGTGAGGTAATTGAGATTAATGTTTTTAGGCACAACTCAAAATTTTTGGTCTTTTATCATATTAATTATACAAATAAATTTGTATTAAACAAAAGTTGAAGTAGATTGTTTTATATATTATAACTTGCATTAGAATAAACTTTATGGATGAAATATCTCTTTTTATTCACGAATTAATAAATAATTATAAATTTAGATTAATCGATTTTAAAGACTATTTACACTAAAAATCCAAGATAAATAATCTAATATAGATTGAATCATACGTTGTTTAGTAACAAAAGACGCTTAAAAAAGTGTTTTTTCATGCACTAGCGATATATTGTTCAGTCTATTTCTATTGAATGTGATTGCATATGAAAAAATTATCTTACTCTCAGCGTCAAAAAGGCATGATTTTTTATTTGTAAAACCATAATCTAACATCTAATAGTGATTATGCTAGAAAGACCGGGAAACTCTTACAACTCTTGGAAAATAAAATAAAACAGTATTGTGTATTGATGTTTTATAGGTCTCCAGGTGGACATCCTATACGAGTAAAACGTGAGAATAGTCCATGCAATGATTTGCAGGAAATTTTGCGAAGACGCTACATTGCAATGCAATCTCCCGATAGCAGGAATTCATCAGCTAACTTAGCCATGGACGGTTCATTTTGAATGAATTAAAAAAACAAATTGTCCATATATGAAAATACTTTTGAATATTTTCACTGTATGTACATTTATATGAAATTTAGGACTCTTACAATAAGAAAATATGATCTGTTATACGTTTGATTTATCATAGATGTTGTTGTTTAAATTTTTTGCATTTTGCATTAGCTGATTTATACCGAAAAACATAAACCAAAGATCAGTTTGCTGCACCAATGCGACGTCGCTCAGGATAAAATTTTTTTCAAATCGAGAAATTGCAATAACAATGTTTTCGATAAGTTTGAAGAAAGCCATTTTAGTTTGTGTTCATGATTAAAGTTAAATTATTTTAATATTGTATATACGAAGTCTACCAGAAAAATAATGAGATTAAATTACTGTTGATTAAATCTGTAGCGTACAATGTGGCAACACTGACAAATCGTAACCACACAGAACGTAAAGTGTAGTTCTGTAAAAGTTCCTATAAAAGTAGTACAAGTTTCGACTTGTTCAGTTACGTTCATGTGTCATTATAACGTTTTTACACGTAAGTGTGTATTAGTAGATGTTGTCACCATTTTCATTATGGAGGAATAAAAGATTGAAAAAAGATATGCGATAAAGTTTTGTGTTAAATTGAAAGAAATCGCCACGGATTGTTATAAAAAATTAAAAAAACATTTGATGATTATGTTTTATTACCGTGCTCAGATTTTTCAATGCCAGGTGTTTTCAGTTAGCTGCTAGGTCATATTTTGCAGAGAACCATTATAATCGCATTACTTTTCTGGCAGACCTCGTAAGGCTGTTATGATATTAAAGTTTCATGTAGGGCTAGGTGATTTGGTTCAAAGGTTCCGATATTTGAACTTCGAAGCCTCGAAAGAATTCGAAGCTTTGAAGTTAACTTCAAACCTTCGAAATTCAAGATGTCTTTGAAACTTTGAAGCTTTGAAGTTGTCAAAAGTAACAGCCCTAGTTTTATGTCAATGACTTTTCTTACAAGATCTAGCTATAATAACTCTAATGTCTGAAATAAAAAATATATTATTTTCATGATAGTTTGTAACAAAATAGAATATACAGTTTCTGTTACTATTTATGCAGAGTGGACCATTTTTATGCCCCTACTTAAATGTCTTTTTTCTATGTCTTTTACAAAAAATGTTTCGTACAAAAGTTGCTTGACCTTAAGGGTGACACAAGACAGTGATATCAATTTGTTTGCAGATACTGCTACTGTTGAGAAATTCACTAATTATTACTAATTATTATATTATTACTTTTCTTAAATAGAAACCGATCTTCTTTGTTTTATAAAAGTTGTAGGTCTCGTCGAGAAAAATCTAACCATATGTATTAGAACAGCATATTGAGAGTTATCTCGCCAGTAAGTGAAAAGAATTCAGCTTAGGTGTATTTTATTCGACCCAACTGGCCAACAATATGTATTAGGTTTTCTTAATTTTTCCACAAATTGCACAATTTTTTAAATTTTGGATTATTAGTGTTCCACATATATGTCAAGAAGTAGAAAATCCCTTGAAGGCTTTTTCGATTACGTTTGATAAAATTTATTATTGTCAATGGAAACTTGATCGAGCATTTGCGCTAATATTACAAATATTTATAGTGAAAAGCAAGGGAATTTGAAGAAGCACCCGAATAGTGAAAAAAAAAACAATTAGAGAATCACAGTCCAAAACATCAACTTCACAGAAAGTAGAAAAATTTTATGCTTGATATTATTTTTGTAGTTAACTGATCAGATACGTAGATTTTACGGAGAGAGAAATATACGTGAGGATAGAAAACAACCTACGAAAGTGCATTAAACCTCATATTATAAGTACCTCTTGACATGTTTGCGGAACACTAATATTCCAAAATTAAAAAATTGTGTAACTAATGGAAAAATCAAGAAAACCCTAAATCAATACATATGGTTGGATTTGTCTTAACAAGACCTACAACTTTTGTTTAAAAAAGAAAATCGGTTTCTGTTTAAGAAAAGTGATGATTAGTGAATTTTTCGAAAATGACACCATCTGTGAACTAATTAATATTGCTGTCTTGTCCCTCTTAAGGTCAAACAACTTTTATGCGAAAGATTTTCTTGTAAAAAGTGTAGAAAAAAAATATTTAGATGGGAACATTAAATCGGCCCATTCTATATATTATTAGGATATAAATAAATTGTGGTATATAAATGGGAAGTTTTGATTACTAATTGCGCGTAAAAATGAGATAAATTTCAATTTAATTTACAGATATTAATATTACGATTATTTATAATTTTATTTGATTAATAGTATTATGATATAATTTTTTACATCTTACAAGTAATACGTAATAAATATTACGAGTTTCAGTAGTATAAATTTATTGTAAGTTTGGCATATAAATTTTATTTTAAAGAATATTCTATTAATTTCTTTTTGATCTTTAAATATGTTTGTAATGTAAATTTAGGATTTACCCATGACCTAAAACATACTAGTACACGTGCAAAGATTGTTTAATTTATCTTGGCACTTTTATATGCATGATGTCACTAATATTTTACGTCAATACTTAAAGGATCAAATCCAGCAGATTAATCATTTCTTGCACCCAAAAAGATATTTCGAATTAGTTATTATAACATTTAATTATTAATAATTATAATATTATTAATAATTATAATAATAGTTATATTATAATATATTATATATTATAATGTAGTAATTATAATATATGTTATATCATAATATATAACTGTTAGTTATTATAATATTAGTCACAGTTAAGGCTCC